GAGAGGATTTTTAACTTAGGGAAGGGAGCAGGAAAATGAATTTAAAATAAATTAACTGAAAAAGTGCCATGGAATATAGCTTGGTTTTTTTTTTAATGGAAACTTGTAGTCGATTGTGATTTCTTCTTTCCCCAATTGTGTCTCATGCTGGAGCTGCCACTGTTCTGAGCTGAAGGCTGGGCTAAGTGAACTGCAGAGGCCCCAAGCAAACTAAATTATTATTGTGACTCTAGGAGTATCAGCTATGAGTTAATTCACCTTTAGGGTATTTGGTTTGGTTTTTTTTCTGTGTATTGTAGAGAGTAAATGTTCTATGATTTAGGTTCTTATAGTTCATATATAAAAAAAAGAAGGAACTGCAAAATTCCTTTTTGTTGGTTGTTTTTAAAACAAAATTGTTTGTACTAATAAGTATTTCTAAATTTAGTTTTTCCAGAGCTGCTTTATTATTCATATTTTCTTCTAAACTAAATACAATTTACATGTTTCAGTGGAATTTGTAGACACCACTCCTGAAGGCCTTAAGTTTTAATTTTTGATGCGCCACACCGCGTCCCTTGTCACGCCGCCCGACTCAGCACAGATATTTCTATTCAGACTTTCTAAAAAGGACATTTTAGTTGTTTCTTCCTCACCCTTCCTACCCTGAGGGTTTGGTGCCAATCGTGGAAGCCTTTGGCTGAGCAAAGCAAACAGTTTAGAATAGTTTTCATTTGTCAAGTGGATTTTTGCAGCTGTAACTGTGATGGCTGCAGCCATCTTTTTGCTCTGATGATGTTTTTCTGTTGTGTGTTGAAGGTGCTTAAAGAAAAAAAAGCAAGGAAAAGAAGTGCAGTAATCCTAAGGTAGGTTTTCAGTTTCAGCCCAATCTGGAAGTCAGAGTATGCCATGTGAGAAGAAACAGGCTGAGGAGCTAAGACAAAAAAAGCCGAGTGGTTTTTGTTTGGCAGATAATTATTTTGTGAGTGGTGCAGCCATATCTCAGCTTGGGCAAACAAATCAGTAGGAAAAGGGTATGGAACAGAGAGCCATGCATCAAACATCCCACCTTTGGGGATGAGTTTTTCTATGGGATAGCAGGAGAGTTATCTTCTAGGCACAGTCTTTGTTTCCCATTTATGGATGTCAGCATATAAGCAACAAATTAGCTTGTCTGGAGGTTTACTGTGGAGAGTGTAGTGCCAGTGCTGGGCATTCCTGACGTCTTTTCAAGATAAGATAGGCATATGATGCAGTAATGCTCAAGAGTGGGGCTTGCAGCAGATAATGATTTCTTTTCACGTGACTACCTGTGTGCCCTCTGCTCCACACATCCCTCCTTGTACAGCATAAAATGGTAGGTGTTTCAGGAGCAGGGGAAAAATGTACATGAGTACATATTCCTCCTGCAAATGAGGATATTCCAGAGCTTTTCCCAAATCCCTTGTGTAACCGCCTTTGCAGCTTAATCCCTTCACATACGCACACTTGTGTTTAGTATTTTCAGCTTTCGTGTGTTTTAAACTTCTTAACCTCTTTGTCTACAACAAAAAAACAGTTTCTTTCTTTTCCCTTATACTTGCATTCCTTTTTTTAAATCATGTCACAGTGAAAGCAGGAAAGCAACGTTCATTAGATGCTCAAAATACAATATATAACCAAGAGAAGCCATCCATCTACTTCACTCCCCAGATTTGAGAATTACCAGAATTATCTCAATCCTGCAGTGGTGTGATCACACATTCAGGGCTTCCCAGTACATTATCACCAAATCCTGCTGTGAACTATTAGGGTAGGCTCCTACATGACACAGATTGCTCTATTTAAACAGGAAGGCAGCGCTGCCGGTACAGTTTCTGTGCACACGAGTGGGTGATGCTGTCTTACCTCCAGGTTTGATGTAGAAGCAGTTCAGCTGAGTTTCGTGCACCAGCTTCCCCTTGTACTTGGCGTCAGGTTCCCCTGGCTGGTGGCTGGGCAGGGGGTGATAAGCCTGCCGAACCAAGGCTTGAAACATTGTAAAATTCCAAGGAGCCTCGAAGCAGCTGGAGCTAAATGTATTTTCTATAGCTAGTAAAGGCACATTCCTTTTGGTTAATTTCCTTGCTTCGGGGTTATGTAATAGCCTTGTACAGAGGTTAAAACCTGAATGTTGTTTTCAATCGCTGACAACTGGATCTTCTAATCTAGGAACTATTTTCTAGCTCTTTGAAACGTTCTCAGTATCTTTTTCGTCCTCCTTCCTTTTCTTGCTGTTCGCTCCTAATCCTTTGCTTGTCCTCTGTGCCTTAGCTCAGTTGGAGCCTTCTCCTCCCCCTGTCCGTTTTTCAGGAAAACTTGGATTGAGGAGTGAAGATAATGGGCGCCATCCACCCGTCAGCTCATCACCTCAGCGAGCCATGACGATCTCTGCTTTCTGTACATCCACACGGGCTCCTCTGATAATATCCTCTAGTGCTCCAAAAAAATAGGCTCGCTTAGCAGAGGGTGGACTACGCTCCTGACATAGCCAGAAAGCTTCTCTTGGAATGTGAGCTTGCTTACTCACACTCTTTTATATGTGTGTGTATATATATAAAAATATTTGTAACCTTCTCTCAAAACATGGCAGATAAATATGTGAGCAAGTGTATCCCACAGCACATATACAAGCTGCTCACTTCTGTCTAACTTTGATTTAACACAAGCTCTTGAGTGCCTCATCAGTGCTCCCTTTGTCAAAACAAGCCTTAAATCGGCAATAAAGAATACTTTTCAATTACAGGAGGGAAGAGGAAAGAAAGCCTTCCCAAGTGTAAGATAGCATACCCTTTAAAGGACAAGGAATGTGTTACATACAGAAACACGGTGCGAGTGCTCCAGTGGAATTCCACTCGGGCTGCAAAGGCAGCGTTGCTTTTTTGTCTTAGCTGGCCTCCAAACCAGTAACAGCACTGGGCTTAATGCCTGCTGCCTGCTCTGCCTTCGTGCTTGTGGCTGCAGCCCGCTTGTGGGGTTTGCAACAGAGCCTCCTTTCATAAAACACAAACTCTTCCTATCGTATAATGCATTGCTTAAAATCAATCTCAGAAAATACCCCGGTGGGTTTTTCCTGCTGGCTTCATTATTTTTCATGTACATATGCCTAGGACTTTTGGAGCTTGTTTGAATAATAATATTATTTACATGCATAAAACCAACCAGAGATTCTGTAGCCAGGGGGAAAAAAAAAGAGTAAGTAATATAAGACACAAACTTCAGGTCAGAAGTCAGCAATAAAGGGACGAAGAAGTTTCTTTCTGTGAATCATCTGCTGCTGGCCATTGTCTTAGACAGGATATGGATTTCTCTTTGAGCTGTACCAATTCTTTGGTCTCTGCCAAACAAACTGCCTTTCTAAAAAATTTCAATATAGTTTCCTAAACAACATACAGTGTTAAATTCTCTATACAGGCATGTGTAGCATCTTTCAATTAACAAGTTCATGAAATTCATAAAAATCACAAAAAGAAGAGAAATAACACTGGGGATTTTATTTGTGAGTATAATATGTCTTCCTGCAGGGCTTTGCTGCCTTCTGTTTATTGTTACCTGTTGTCTTTATTCTGGTTTCTCTCATGTGAATATTTCTGTCTCTAACACCCTTTAACAGAAAGCAAAGTAGATGTTCAGATTTGCACTGAGACTTAAAATGAACTGAAGAGGAGAGACTGAGGAAGCAGATGATTATTGTTAAGTTTTATTCCTAAAGGATTATGCATGAGCTAGTAAAACACTGCTGACTTCTGAAGCAAAACAGAATATTCATTTTTAGTTTGTGTGGAAACACTACAGTTGCTGCAGTGAAAATGGTCCAATGCAAAAATCCCAAATTTTTAATTTAAATATGATTGTATCTCTAGTTTATGATCAGGGATTCAGAGTTGCAGGGTACCTCCCAGTTCTGCTATTGTGAAATATCTAGCTGCTAATATAAAATGAATTTGATAAATGTGAGGGGTTGTTTTTTTTCTGTTGAATTACAGGTTAAATAAGAAACTGTTTACTACTTTAATTACATTTTCTTGGGGACAAACTTGATCTCAGGGGTGCATTGTTCCTCTCTCTGTACATGTACACAGAATGTTCTGTATTCTTGTACACAGAATGTTTTGTGTGCAAGGCTATAGAAGAGTCAGTAAACTTCTGAATAATCTGAACAATTCTGAATAATCTGAAAATAAAATTTTAAAGTATATACAAATATGTTAAAACAGAATTCCAGTAATCAAAGGAAAAAAGCAACAAGGTACTTCAAAGGTATTTGTATCTTCATGAAAGAAATTACTAAATTGCAATTTCACAAGAAAAATGCAGGTGAAACATATTAATATTAACTATTAATATTAATACTTCAATGGTCCTTCAGCTTTCAAGCATGTGAAAATGCAGTGACCATATTTGAATGATAAAGGGCTCAGGGTGAAATTTAGCTTGTGAGCACAGTGTGAACCTACCCACAAGTGGAGTGAACCTATTGCAGTTTGCCTGTCATTCTGTGAGAACAGTGAAAGCCCTTTCTGTGCCTGTGAAATCGTATTAGATCGCTGAAAACTGTACTGCAAAGTTTGTTTCTGCAGCTCTACAGACAGGCAGATGTTTCTGAAGGCAGTGTAACAGCTGACTGCAAGAGAAGGAATGGCTGCAGAGGAGTAGAGAACACTCTCACATGTGGAGTGTAACCTGCTAACAGGCAAAGCAATAAAAGGGAATAGCCAAGAAATGCTGGAAATATCAAATAACTGAGATTTCAGGAGGAGTAGTTGAGTTCTGCCTATTTCTATGTGGATTTTTTTCAGTTCTTTCTCTAACCTTTTAGAGCTCAGTGTAGGAAAAATGAAACAATTGTCTCTCCAAAATGATGTTGTGTATAGAGTATACAAATGGAAAAATACAAAAATAGGGGGGGTTAACTTCTCTTGATTTAAAGTATTTCTTACTTTAAAGTGTTTCTTGTTACAAGAACAAGGATATACAAGTAACTCAGACTTTTATTGTTGCAGGCTAAGAACTTAGTCCAGATCTGCAAATGTATTTCCATTACTTAGGATCTGAAGGTATGCAGTGGAGAAATAAGAGATGAGATCACAACAGTCAGAATTAGTAACATCATCTAGAGTTAAGGTTGCTTATTTTCCTCATGAAGCCCTTTCTGAAGTTGTTCATTATTTTGTGGGAGTTAAACCATTTGGAGTGACAGCTCATCATACTGATTATAGTAAAAAATCAGCTTTCAGGAAAAAAATGACATGCTATTGAACACCTATTTGAGGTTAAAATAGTCTTCTCTTTTTTCCCCTCTCTCTTGTAATATACTGGAAAATGGCATTGTCAGAGCTTGGAAAACAATTTGACCTTGAACTTAACCATAGCTGTGGAATTAGAGGTGTACCTTCGGCAGGTACCTCAGAGATGCACTTTAAAAATAATTGGGAACATATTCTTAGGTTGGACTAAATTATAAATGAAAACCTCGCTGTGATGAGGATCCTGGTGAGTCCTCTCCCAGCTGTGTGTGCCACAGACAGCAGAGCAGCTTTTCCCCACGGGACAGGAAGCCCAGATACTCCACAAGAAACACACAGAAGCCGCTGCTTTTCTTAACATAGTGGAAAGAAAAAGGCTGGAAATTGAGACACTGAAGGTAGCTCTCCCCCAAAAAAAAAGCCATTTTTTTGTTGTCTCCAGGTTGGAAAAGCTGTGTTGTCCTCATCTTGATTGAGCAGAGTTCTCTTTGCTTTCTGTTACTTGGGAGAAGTGAAGTGCACAGAGTCAAGAAAAGATTTCTAGTTTAACCTCTTCCACTTGTGACAGTTTTCTGTTAGTCCAAGCCTTTCTGCTGATGGAAAGAATGGATTTGTATTTAGCCTGGATTTGTGTAAGGCACTGTTGTGTTCTGCTGGAGTGATTTCTATAGATCGGGGCCTGGCTTTATTTTGGTTTTATTGACATGTTTTATTGTTTGATTTACAAAGTTAGCAAAGAATATAGAGCACAGGTAAGCTAAAGAAAAATAATCATTTCAGGTGTTGAGGAGTTGCATTTGTTTTCCAGTAAACCTTTCTCTGATGGGTTTTTATTTCACAGGAACTCTGCTTGTGTTGACTGAGGATATTTGGATGCAGTTTTTAGCTTATGGAGCTCTCGTCTGACATTTTGGAAGTCTATTGTGAAATAGTAACGGGAACTGTTTGTTATTTAGGAGAGCCTATTTATAAGAAAAAAATATTCCTTAAGAACAACTTGTTATTTAAGAAATTGATAGCCTGGCATCTACAGCCTTCCTGCCTTAATTTCAGTGTCACGCACCATCATGATTTAAAAATTATTTGGAACTGATGATGCAATGGCAGGGAGGTGTGACTGGAAAACCAGTGGTGTGGGGGAAAAAAATAAATCCTCTAAGCCAGATGGATCATAACATAGATGCTATTCCTGTGTCATGACTAAAAATTTCTTGTAGCATCAACAGAAGGCATATTTAAGGGAAATCTTGCAAATACAGTTTGCATTTGGGCTCTTTTCCAAAAAAAGTAAAGAACCTGCTGATGGACTCTTACATCTGCTGAGCTTTATGGAAATAAGTGGATCAATGGGCTTTTACATTTTCCTGCAGAACTTCAGCTTTGAGGCCATTTTTCCAGTGACCCTATTTTGTTTGACTGCTACACAGTTGATTTTTCTTCACAAAAATTCCTGATAAATTTGGATTAAAAATCTGCCTGAAGTCAGTCTCTCACAGTAGAGCCACAGACATGATTTATGAAACCATTCACCATGTCTGTGCTGTCTCTTTTTTTTTTTTGCCTCATGAAACCAGAAATATTTGCTGGCTCTGTCTGGAAGTCTGCACATTTGTCCCCCAACTTTCACGACTGATAGATGATGGTAGGAATATTTCAGGGTCCATTCTATTAACAAAAATTTTGTCTTGAATTTTAAGGCATAGTTCCAAGCACAATTTAACAGATGGTGGTGAGGAATTTATTCTTGACTTCAGTAATGTTGCCAATCATTGCCCATTTTCAAACCATTTTTTGGGGGAAGGGGTCTGGAGGGGCTTTTTCATTTTGTTGGGGGCTTTGTTGTTGCATATTTTGTTTGGTTTTTTGGGGGTTTTTTTAATAAAATTGTTTCATCAGTTCCCTCCTCATTTGAATTTCACTGGTTAAACTGAAAAATGGCCATGTGTAATCATTGCTTTGCATTGACATTTCTGAATGGGATTCTTTCTTCTTTAACAACTGATTTGGTTGTTTTTTGGGTGTTCTTTTGTAGCTTGCTTCTTCATACTTAATATTTTAAATTTTTGATACAATGGAAATAGCGAGTTTTCCTTTTCCATGTCTTTATTAACAGTTCTCCAAATAAGTGGATCAGGAGCTTTATCAACCTTTAAAGGAAAGAACAAGTGTCTGATAATTTAACAGGTAGGGCCCTTTCAGAGCCTTTTAGGAATTTAGGTTAAGCTCATATCAAACTACACATTTTTGTTGTTCGAAAATCTCTTACCTTGCTTCAATTTGACATTTTTATGCCTGAGAAATCATTGAAATTTTGACTCATCTTTAAAAACTTCCAGAAATACCAGGATATAGCCAGAGAGGAATTTCCATTCTTTAGAAACAAATACATTTATTTAATACATATTTTGTATTTTGCAGCTTTGCACAATGTTGAGAAGCAAGATAAAAATTCCAGTCCTGTTGATGAGGAAGTACTTATTTCTATCAATATGGATATAACTGAAATTTTTTTCTGGTGTTTTGGGTTTAAGCATCTAAAGAGTAAACTTTTGTATTTGAAAGAATCTAAAGCCTGTTTAGAGCCAAAAAACCTTTACTCCTAAATTAGGAAATACCAAAATTAGGGTTGGTTGTGCAATGTCTCTGTTTATGGAATTTTATATTGTGTGGTTGTGTTCTTTTGCAATAGGACTTTGTTTCAGTTATCAAACAATTGGAGTGGTCACACGGAGAGGCTACTCAAGATTCTTTTTTCCTCATTACTCATGCATGGGTCACTTGCTTAGTTCTGTGCCACTGGAGTTCTGCACTAGAGACAGAATTATTGGGTTTTCTTGGTTTTTTCTCCAATAATCATCACTGTAATAGCTGATAACTCATGAACTGTTTTACCTTGCTCAGTTCAGAAATATTGTTCTTCCCATTTCACAAATTGAGATCCTAGGGCAGAGTAGTCACAATTAGAGACCAATTAAATACTGAGTGTCTGGCTTTAATTACTCAAGCCAAGTTTTTCCAGTGTATTTATTATTAATCCTATGTCCTAAACCACTTCTTACAGGCTTGGATCAGGAGGATTGGTGTTTCTGCAGGCCACGCACTCCAAGCTTGCAGCCAGGTCTAGCATCTCCACTCAGCCACTGGGAAATGGAGCACACCCAGGCAGTGCAGCCTCTTCAGATGACATTTCACAGCTTGTGTATCATTGCATAACATCTCTGGGATGAAATTCAGCTTTCCAGGATAGTGTGCAGCTGTCTGTGCTGCAGGTTTTTTGGTTTTTATTCTATTTTTCCCTCATTGCACTCCTAAACATAGCAATGTAAAGGTGTCTGCCTGCCTTGCAAGACATTTATACAGAAACTTCTTTTTAATATAGCCAAGTGTGGATTTACATATTCAGGAGCAAGAGTCTAGACTACACATAGAGCAAAATATCTTAAGAAGCATGAAGTCAAGAATAAAATAGGAAAATTTAAGAATTGTGGTTTTTTAATTTATTTATTTTTAATACCAGCAAGTATAAAACAGTTCCTAGGTACGGGGGAATCTCTAGTCAGTCATTATTTCTGTATCCATTTTTACCAAGCTTAAAGACTTTATGTGGAGGAATAGCTTAAAAATCACGTGTTGCAGGTACACTGAAACAAAAGCTTTGATAATGGAAATGTCTGTCCTGAAGACAAAAATGTAATCACTGGAATAATGAAGAGGGGAAAAAAAAAATAATCCTAGAAAATGTCTTTCTTTTTAATAGAATACTTAACATGAATGATTGAAGTCGATAAGAAATTCTGTATTATCATAATAACTAAATTAATGTTTCAAATATTGAGAGGTTAGAAATTGTTATCTATAATTCTGGGAGATAGCAGCTGTCAGCTTCTGATTTATAAATAGTATCAAGTGTTCTAGTGTTTGTGAGGACAGGAGAAATCCATAGCCAAAAAATGAAAATTGTAAGGCGGAAGCTTTCGAATTGGCTCTGAAGTCGTGATTTAAAACTTAAATAGTGTCCTTCCTGAAATTCAATCACTGAGCTATTAAAGGAGCTTCACAGATTTGGGTAAAATTTTTCAGTTTGGATTTATGAGCAGCCTGACTTTTAGAAATTCTAAAAATTTTAAAGACTGATACCCTTAATAATTAATAATTTCAGTCAGATTATTTAAATAATTTATTTAGCTTCCTATTCAGTGTTAATTGGATCTTCTCAATTTCATAGCTGCATTATGTCATAGTTTTGTGTAATGTTAACAACACTGTAATTTTGGCACTTGTTTTTTCTTTTAATGTCATCAATTCATTACTTGACTTTATTTTTTTCTGTTTTTTGCAATATCCTCTTCTTACATAACTTTATGGTCGAAGCTGGGCCTAAAATTGTCTTAACATTTCCTCTTCTGTGTGGCAGTAGAAAAATTTGCTTTGTGCCTCTGATGTTTCATGATTCATTTTTAACGTGAACGTGAAATTACCGCTCTGCAAATGATACTTAGATCTGGAATTCTGTTTTGTCAAACAGTCTGACGGAGTGGGAAGGCAGATAAAAGTAATCTGTTTATGTTTAATCCTGATAAAGCAGGCAGTGTTTTCATGCTGCTAGAAAGCTTGCAGTGGAATTGGATTGTGTGTCTGCGAGTGTGCCAGGTTCCCTGACAGGTACAAGTTGTTATCAGCTTAGGTTCTCATTCTGCTTGTGGGGTTTTAGGTGTTCCCACACACATGAGAATTTCTTTTCTCATTTTGTCTTCATCATTAATCCAGATGGAGGCCATTAACTCTAAATCTTACTACTACTGTTCACACTTCTTTTCTCCTAAATACAGGTTACAACAGAATATACAACTGTGGTGTGAATTTATGCTGTGGCTACTCCAGGTAGCTCAGATTTCCCCAGGTTGCTGTGTTCTCACTGGTCCCTCATTCTCACATGCAGAAAAGAGCTTGGGATATGCTGTGCTACCACAAGCTCAGGGATTGTTTCTCAGTGTATTTCTGCAGTGTTCATCTGTTCTGGACAGATGGGAGCAATGTGGAAGGAAGAAGAGTGGAACTGTCCACTTGTGAAAGATTTCACCACTAACTGGGTGAACTGAGCTCAGAGGATGTTGAGCTTTAGTCTTAGCTTGCTTTCAGCTATGCTTCCAAATTTAGGTTGAGAATACCATTTAACCAAGGAGAGAAAGTCAATGTGGGTGGCTATGAAGCTCAGCTGACAGCTGAAGGTCTCTGGATCTGCAGTATCCTGACTTAAAACTGGAGTTCAGCTGGGATATGTTGGTGTTGTATGTATTGTTGGGTGGTGCTGTGGTTTGGTTTGGTGGCACAGACCCAGTGTCCTTGTTCCATGACCCAAATAGGTTTGTATTTGGCTGCAATTGTATTTCAAAATACTCATTGTAGTTCTGTAAAATCTGAAATGGTCATTTATTCTGGGTATCACTTGTGTTTGTCACTGAGTTGAGGTAAATCAACAGCAGAAGCAAGGCCAATTTGAGTCTTTCAGCATCTAATGGCCAGAAGCAGTTTGGCATTTCCAAGGAACTGTCAGCTCTCAGATTTATTAGGTATTCATAAATAGTCTGTGCCATGTCTGTTCTGTTGGCCAAAGGTGAAGCTGTTCAACCTGTGCTGCATAATTGATGGTGCCACCAGCTGTGGTAGACTTAAAAAAAATGTGAGAAGGTAGAGCAGATGCCCAAAATTTCATCAATGCTCTTCTCCATTGGAGATTCTTCTATTAAAAAATAAGAATCTTGATTAAAACAAATTTAGTTAGTCTGGGATTCTCAGTCTACTTGCTGTGCTGTGGCATTGAAGAATATGGAGTTACTTGTGATTTGGACAAGTTTTCTAATGTGTTTCATCAGAAGGATGTGGAATTTTGCATAACAGGTTGGAGTTCTGGAACCTTATGAGTTGTTCACACACTTTTCTGCAGGTCCACAGTTCATTATTATTATTTATTATTACAACAGCCATTGGAATATGCTAGAATATTAATGTGGATTTGAAATACATATTTTAATATTCCTGTTAAAAAACCCTGAGATGACTTGTGCAGTTCAGCTCTTACAATTCACATTTGTAGAACCACTGGTGCATGTTATGTTAGTTGCATTTTTTAGGTGAATGATAGAAATCATCACACTTCTCAGTAATCATAAAAAGGACAGTATGTATTTCAAAAGTTAATTTTTGTATGTCTGGTTTGTGGGATATTTTAGACTTTTTGCCAATGTGCTAAATGTGTACTAAACAGTTTGGACCATTTTTAGTTCTATAGAAGGCAACACACAGCTTTAAATTTGGGGGGGGAGAAATGGAGAAAATATCACACTTGTGTCTTGCAAGCAGCTGTACATTCATTTTCTTTCCAAACATTAACAAAGCCAAGGTACACTTCATATGCCATAGGTTTGGCTCTGTGGAATTGAAGGAGTTCTTGCTTTTGGACTCTCTTAATATTAGGAAATATTACATCATCAGGGTCAGTGTTGCAGTTGTTTATGAACAGGTGCACAACCCATTTCAAATGAAATCCATGTTCAAAGACATGTAGGATCTGCCAATTCTTGGTAAGGTTAAGAGACAGCTCTTGCCTGCTGCAGGGTAGGGAGGGAAGGAGGAGGAGGAAACCCAGGATCTCCTGTTGAAAATAATGGGCAGAATTACAGCAAATCTACAGGGAGGCAGAGAGATGTTCACCCTACTCCATCAACTTTGATACTCATAAGATAGACCTGGACATTGTTTGAAAATTTAACAGATTTTCCTGCTTCCACAGGCAGGAAATGCTCCCTGCAGTGCGCTGGTAGTGGAGTCAAATGGATATGACAGCTGAAATAAAGGACAGAGAAAAAGATTTTAAAGAAAAAAAACCCACTGGTTTAGTGCTCTGAAGAAAAGGATCAACCACCTTTGCCTTAATTGAATATTTAAGAGCTTGTAATTTACATGCTTAGAGAAGTGCCTTTTGATCTTTTTTGATTTTATAGGATCTGAGTGTCATTCTGTGTTTCCAGATGGGGAAAACATAAGATGGAAATAAATTCTGAAATTGGTTTACAGGTCACATTTAAATATCTACCAGGTAGAAGTGCTGTTTGAGAAGATGCTCACAGTTTATGTTTGATGTGCATTTGCAGTGTCCATATATGGGATTTGGTTTTATGATAAAGAAGAATGCCAAAGAATTGCAGAGCTCATGAAAAAGTAAGTGATGGGTAAACAAGACTTCTGTGCTTTTTTATGTATGTATTTCTGTACATAAATGTACATTTTATGTTTTTAGGATTATCATACCTTTAAACTTACAAACTTTGTTGCAAGTGTCAAGTCTGCATTTCATAAAATCATAAATAAGTCACTGTATTGCAGTAATTTTTCCTAGTTTGTAGTGCAGCTCTCCAGCTACATCAGAGTGTACCAGTTGATATGATTTATTTCCTGATGACTCAGAGATCTATTCTGAAGAATTGTATTCTTTGGGGGTTTAATATATTTTTCAATTTGGGGAGATTTAATTTTTTAATATTGTTATATTTATTTTTTTTTTCCTTCTGTGAAGGTAAGTGCAGGATATCATGAGGGCATACAGTACCAATACAGTTTCTGTGGCTTTTGTCCTGTTTGTACATCATGTTTTCAGCATTTAAAGCAAGACTTCAATTAGCTTTAAAGTCATTGCTTTCATGCACATAAAAATGTTTTATTATACATGTTAAACTATAATTTTGCAGTCCAGCCAGAGGTGAAGATTTCACACAGAACTGTGTTCTCAGCTGTATTTTAACCTAAGAATGTCTTAGGGGTAATTATTTTCAATATCTCTTTCCTTCTCATGTCCAGGATGGACAGGGCTCATTCTTCTGCTCTGTTTGCAGGGACCCTTTTTTTAGGATTATATCCTGCAGGGTTTCATGTTTGCTTGGAGAAGGAGGGAGCTGAAGACACACAGATTGTATCAACATATGCAATCTACATTTTTTAGATCTATAATGATGAAGATGTATGGGCTGGGTAGGAACTGGCTATTCCAGCTGCCTGTGGTATATAGGGTTAGACACACCAGACAGGATTTGTGATAAAATACTGGATGAGAAGGGGCACATCTTTCCTCCATATATCTTTTCTTTGAAGTAATACCTGCTGCTTTTCATTTTGCAGTGACAAAACAGTGTGAAATGCAGACTGTGACAGCGGTGGGGTTTTGTTCAGTGGGCTTCATTGGTTTTGCTGTATCCTACAGCTCTAAAATGAGTCAGCTGTGACCCAAGAAATAATTGATGGGGATGAATTTACAGAAATAAACAATGAACCCTAGGAAACCCAGGTTTTTGACAGCTCATTTTAGTTAACTAGCTCAAGTTTCGGTTGGTGGTGATTAGGTGCTCTCAAACTGGTAATTTACTACAATAAAACCTAGTTTTCAGAGGATTCATGCAAATGTAAACCATGTGTAGTGGTTTATAATAGCAGTATTTCATATAGATAAAAAATACCCTGTTGCTCAGCCAATTGGCTGTGTGTTTTAATTCTCAGCATTCTACAATAATAATAAAACAGCTGGGGCAGGAAATTGGTCATTTGCTAGTACTTAATTCCTGATTTGTGTGTGTTTGCCATCCTCCACCACCAGCAGAACTGAATAACACTATAAATTCCCTGCTCCTTCTGGGTATAGAAATTGTGACTCAGTTATGGAAATTTTATTCTATGGTCTAGTGTATTCAAGATTGGAGAAAATTAATCTCATGTCAAATGATGATTTTATAGAGATCCTTTAATAACGATATTTTTTTTACTGCACGTTTTAATGTAGATGGGGAAAGACAAATATTTGAGTTTCAATCAAGCATTGTACAGTGATTGTGGTTAAGTTTTTATATTTTATTTGCATTTTTTTTCTCATCTTTCCTCCACCTTTCAGCCTAACTCAGCAGGAACAATTCAAAGCACAGCAGGGCACAGGAACAGGGGTTTCTCCCATGATTGTGAATTCTGCTAATAACAAAGAAGTGGATATCTTACGGATGCTTACCAAGGCCAAAGATGAGTATACCAAGGTGAGACTTGCTCCCCCTTTACATCAGGAAACAAAAAATGTTTGATTTGGGGTTTTGAGAGTTCTACTCAAAGTGATTTTGGACAGCCTGCTCTCTCATTTTGTGTAGAAGTGGCTGGTAAAAAAAAAAAAAAAAGTTTTGACAGAATTTGCTAAAAATTCAAAATAAACTAATGCTGTCAATAACAAGCTCTGGAGTGAGAATGTGGATTATTTTTTGAATGGTAGAGGCTAAGAGCAAGTATAAATTGCCTCTCATTCTGACCCTTAGAGCTCCTGTGCCTATTGAGGAGCACCTGCAAGCTGTGCCCTCTTTCTGGGATAAGTATTTACCTGGTGGTAGTTTCTGTGGTTTGTACAAAGGACTTGGTTCAGGAGGCTTTTGACAGTGAAGTTACTGCTTTTAATTGTGGTTGTTAGCTCCTTTCAGGCATTAATGGAAAGAAATGGAAAGGTTGAAATGTAGTATGATTTCAGCCCGTGTGCTGCCTTGGTCTTCTGAGGCTTCTAAATAAAGAAGTAACTAATGGACTAATAATGTTCTCTATTATTGAGCAATCAAAAACGTTTTACTTTGGGGAATAAAAATCTAATAATTTTAACTATCCATATATATGCTGCAGATTGTTACAGAGCCTGCAGGTTCCTGCTGCTGTTTCCTGTATTGCTTATGTGCTGTCATGCGATAATAGAGCTCCTAAGTGTTCCATAAGAGCTTGGAAATGTACATGCATCTTAACTTTTTCTCTCCTTAAATCCCTTGTGTTTATTTCTTCTGAAATGCAGCTGCTAATAAAATCCTCAGAAAGATGATAGCAAACTATTTGAGCTAGGGTGAAATGGAGCTCTTTTTGTTTGGTTTAGTTTCTGTTGAAGCTTGGGGCCTTTGTTTTCTGTAGTAGAGATTTAATGCACTGTAGTGGGCAAACACTTCCAAAACCTGGTGTTTTTCCCTTATTTTAATACTGAATCAGTATCTAATCTTGGCATCAGAGAATATGATTTGAGATGTTCTGAAGTGTTTAAGAGGTTTTCATTAGATAACCTTAAAAATACTGCAGATGGAAAAGGGGAAAAGTATTAGGCTGTCTTCAGAATCTGTGAAAAGAGGGTGATAAATCTAAAAGATGTTACCTTCCATTTCTGCATTAGCACACAGAAATCAAGACAAAGGAGAGGAAATTCTGTTGTTTAAATAATAGCTTTTAGGACTCTTTTCCCTTTAGGATCTTCTGCAGATCTGCTCCTTATTTTATCTTTGATCTTTCTGCATTTAAGGGATTGTGAAGGACATAAAAAATAACATGAAAACTTCCTCCTTGTCTGGGACGTGAGTGCTAGGAATGCCTGACCTCTTGTGAACAGGATGTGTGTGATTTCTTGTATGGCTAGTAATATAAATTTCAAAAGAGTGTGATAAATAAAGGCAATGACAACCATTTTTCTATTTAATGTCAATATGTTTCAGAGCAGTCGTGCTTTTTGACTGGTTTATGACATGTACTTTCTTGTCAGTGTGTGTTTTATTACTTACAATCTGATGTGCTGAAATTAGTTATGAAACATGTTGTTCTCTTCTTTGAATTCTGTATTTATGCAGTGAAGAGTGTTTTAAAGTGTTGGAAGCTGTAGAATAAGAGCATCAATTTTCAAAACTTTTAAGGAATTTTGCTCAATTTTTAAAAGTGTAACTAATTTTGAAAGGTGTATCTTGTTCCCAAATTACGTTATACATTTGGAGGTTACATTACATGGGAAATAAAATACAAAGCTTCCCCTTTCTTTTTGAATTAATGAAGCTTTAAGACCACTGAGTTTTGGGGTTTTTTTTTAAATGCACTTTTTATACACTTCCTTTGATCTCTGGGAAGAAAAAGCTGGCCTCACTGACAGCCAGGGAGAAAACCAGTTGAAGAGCTGCAAGGGTACAGAACAAAGCATGACAAAATGGGTTTCTCCTTAACCACTGTGCCTTGTCTTGTACTGCAGGACCAGCTCTAGGTTTAACTCTGTGCTGCACAGTTCTTCTCCCAGAAGTTTGCATTTTCAGCCTCATCTTGTCCAGGTTTGCTTCAAATATCTCTGACTCTACGAAACTTGCCAAAACCCCCACAGTGATTTTCTTGCTCTTTTTGATCTACATTGACCATATGTGTCTGGTTTTGTTCCAGTGTTTCTGAGCCTTTCTTTGACTTGATCTTAGAACCTTTTGATTACTTAGGGATCTGAGCCTTTCTTTGACTTGATCTTAGAACCTTTTGATTACTTAGGGATCTTTTGGAACAGCAGAGCTTTGGCTAGGACACCTGACTAAAGGACAGACCTGCAAAGCAAGGTGTAGTAATTGCCAAATTACTCCCAGGTTCTATCACTAAGGAGCATGCTGGCATTTCTTTCATGGTGCTCTTCGTTAATAGCATCTGATATCTTCTTTGCCTCTCTACCTGACAGTTGCTTAAAATGCCATGCTAGTGCTCCCCATTTGCCAAAATGGCTCTGTAGTCTGAGCTCCAGTAGTTAGAGATTCCTCTGAAATCATCACAGGCTTCTTTTCTCTTCCATGTGCTTCTGTGTTTGATAGCAACCTACTAGCCTTGTTATCAAATCACAGCAATGATACCAAGTCAGGTCAATGTCATTCTCGTGTGTACTGATGCTCATTTGGCTGAGGAATTTGGTCTAAAATATGCTCATATAGTGATAACTCTGTTAAACACTGCTGCTTCTCACCTCATTTTTATATGCTTAGTTCTGTGATCGTGCAGGGTATGACAGTGGGATCAAGGTACTTAGGGTTTCTGAAGAATTCAGCCTATTAAAATATCCTGAGGAAATAAGGGTATTACTTAAATTCTGCAGAATTCACCGGGAAATATTCAAGAGGATGTTATCCATGGTGTTAAAAGAAAAAGCTTATGTGCTTTTTGCCCAAAAGCTTAAGCTGAAAAAGAGCAATGAGAAGAAGATATGTTGAAGAAAAGGTGTTATTAGAAAGAGAACTGTTTGGGAGGGAAAAAAAGCTATTTAATCTTCCTGAATTTCAGTTTTGTTCAATGTAGGATCTGTCCAATCTAACAAACAACTGAAAGTATTGAGGACTTACTGGAGCCCCTTAAGTCCCCACAAGAACTCCAGTTCTGGTGTACTGGGCAGCCCTGGAACCAGCATTATTGTTGCAGTAGGTGTGAGAAATGGGTTAAGTGATCAGCTTTGTATATTTGAGAGTGGAGTTAGAAGTAACAGAAGAATTAATAGTTAATAGAATTAACTTCATGTTAAATAATTCTTTTAAAAATCTTCCCAGTTTCTTGGTTTCAACTGTATCAAAAAGTGTCACTGACTTCAAATATAACGTCCTCTTTTCTGCTGACAGTAGCATTCCATGTATACCCAGTGTTTTTTTTAGTTTCATTGACTAAATTCTTATATATATATAGCATCTTATTCATGTTTTTCTTTTCCATTTACTATTTCTCTTTCATGGAGCATTTTATCTGGTTTTTTTTTTCCTGAATTAAGTCATGCCCTTGTCTCTCCACATGACATTTTTTGTCCCTGATCACTTTTAGTTATCTGTGACCATCTTTTTTAGAAATATTTTTAATAGTCATATTTAATAAGAAATCCTACTGATTCTATAAATTTATTAAATCTTTAATTACTTTTCTGTGCATGTATATGCATCCTACAAATTTCCCCCAAAAAATTTATGTAAAATAGTTTGAGTTTTAATTCTACTTTTTGACAAAAGCATTTTAAATGATCTTTATGGGCACATTAATCCTTCATGGATCTAAACTACTTCTAGCTGCCTGTTGGATGCAGGAGCAGCATGTCTGTGGCTTGCTTTCTAAGGTGCTTTTAAAAAGTATTTTATGTTTTTGAAGTGCAGGAAAAGCAGAAGGCCAAAAAGAGAACTGAGATTTAAATTAGAGGGAAGCCTCATACGAGGCAAATCTTAGAATCAAGTGTTATTTTATATCTGTCTTGTGGTTTTATAAAATTAGGTTGCAGTTGCTACAGTTCTTCTAATAGCATAATACTTCATCATCAGAGCTGCAATCAGTATTTTTGGGCATTGAATACCTGGTTATATCTGTATTTTACTGTGGTTGGGAACCAGGGGAAAAGATAGTGTCACACATACTAAGAAATGCCTTTTTTCTGTTGCAGTGTAAGACCTGCTCAGAGCCAAAACAAATAACCAGTTCCTCTGCAATCTATAACAACCCCAACCTCATCAAACCCATTCCAGTGAAGCCGAGTGAGAGCCAGCATCAGCGAGTCTCCCAGCAGAGCAAGGTAAAATCTGTGCTGCTTTCTGACTGCTGCAGCAGTGAGTGACAGCAACATTGAGCTGAGCCGGAAGGAATTTCAGGTGTTGTTTTGGTCGCAAGCTGATCTAGTCAATTGCTGGACCACACTTTTTGTGGGGTTTTGTTTTGTTTTGTTGGGTTTTTTTTCAGGGGAAATAATTTAAATAAAGAAAAGTCTCTTGGTATATCTTCAAGCCAAATCACAGTGCATACTCCTAAAAATTGAATTCAGCTGTGACCAGCAGATGCACAAGAAGTGGCTCTCCTTCATACACAGGCAGATTTCTGTCTCTTACTAATATTGTACTGTAAAAGATGATGCTCTTTCATGTTATTTAAAGCAAAGCCACTGCTATATCTCAGATTCACTGATTTTCTCCCACATTAGCAGCTTGACAACAGTCTTCTTGCCCTTCCTATGTGACAAAACTATTAAAAATCCTCTCGGGGGGGAGAAAAAAGAGCATAGCAGTTTTCTCAGCTTTTCATTGAGTTCTGCTGCCTAAATACTGTCTCCACTTACCGTTAGTTCTGCAGGAGGGAGCTACATTTACTCTTTGGCTTTGTCCCCTCACAGAGCACGGATCCTGAACCCCAGCACCTGTCTCTGACAGCGCTGTTTGGCAAGCAGGACAAGGCAGATGTGGCAGAAGCTGTCAGCAAGCAGGAGAAGCTGGCGGGCAGGCAGTGCGTGGTGCGCTCGCTGTCCTACGAGGAGCCCAGCCGGCTGTCCCCCTGCGCAGAGAGGCAGCTGTGCCCCGCCATCCAGAAGCTGATGGTGCGTGGCACGGAGCTCCATCCCCTGGCAGAGTTCCCTGAGAGCCGCCTGTGTGAGAATGGCAGCATCCCCTGCGTGGGGGAGACTTTGCCAGGGCTGTTCCAGCCCGTGGCACAGCACGGCGTGGCTCCTCACGGAGCGCAGGATGCCGCTGGCACCCAGAGCTTGCTGCAGAAGCTGCAAAGTCAGCCGGGCTCCGCCACTAAAATGGACCCCAGTGCCACGGGAGCTGGCAACTCCACAGCTTCTGTGTTCAGCAGGACTCCTGCTCCTGTGGGAGCACCAGCAGCACCAGGAAATAACATGAGCCAGCCCCCTCTGGTGTATTTCAATGGGTCCCTGCCAGGCCAGACTTTAGAGGCTCAGAGCCTTGGTAAAGAACAATCCAAACTTCCCAGACAGCCGCTTCCTCTCTCCGGCAATCAAGCAGCCAATTCTGGGGTGATTTCACCTCAAGAACTGTTGAAAAAACTCCAGATAGTGCAACAAGAACAGCAGCTCCATGTATCCAGCAGACCAACGTTGGCAGCTAAGTTCCCAGTTGTTACCCAGAACACCAACACGCTGAAACCACTGGATTCCTGGATAGAAAAGGCTCCAGGCACAGAAAAACAGAGTGCTCTCCTCCAGGTAAATGGGGAACTTCTTCACCAGAAATAAATACAAATCCTTCTAAACTTGATGTTTCACATCTCTCACACATCAGTGATGATCAGAAATACTGCAGGGTTGGGTTATCCCAGAGCCCCTTTGGAAAGTCACCTAGTTTTCACTAGCCATACTTGGGCTGTTACATGTAATTTTTTGCTACTGAGTGTAATATTTTGGGTTTAATAATTATTTTCTGCAAAATCAGTGTAGGTGTGCATTCTTTTGTATACCAGTTGCTGAAGATACTTAAGAGGGCCCTTGTTTTCTAACAGCAGCTTTTTGAATCATTTGTATATTGGTCAGTCAGTTACCTTGTACCACACCTGCTACTTCTAGATACTCATTAGCTATTTTTCTTTAATTTGCTGTGTATTATTTTGAAGAAAAGGTCTTGTGCCTGAACAAGGTAAAAAAATTCTGTTTCTTTTGATCCTAGAAGTCAGATTGGTGTCCTAAAAAATTCAGGAGATGTTAAGAGACTGTATCTCTCTCATGAGTACATTTTTATGTTCTTCAGAGAAGCAACGTGTGCAAGTACAAAATGTCCCATCCAAAACAACTACTGTCTTTAACAACTTCATTTTCTGTAGGATTTTCTGCACTAGAATGTCTTCACATGTCCTGTCTGGGAATGTATCTAAGCCCTTTTCAGCTTCCTTTATTGTGGATAGGCTGTGTTGTACTGGAGTCTGACTTGTGTGGGAGTCTAGAAGTTACTGATGCCAAGCATTCCCCTTTCCAGTGTAAAGTTGAAAAGCTGCTTTTCTGTTGTGACTATTCCATTCTTGTACTTCTGTTTTATTCTGGTTTTTATTCTATTTTTCTAATTCTGTCAAAACCTGATTGAAAGACAACAGGATATTTCAAAGTGCTAGAAAGTTCTTCTCTACATGAAGAGGCTGAAAGAGTCATTTAATAATAAAACAGCCACATCTGTCACTAAGTTTGTGACAGGTCAAGTTTTCTAATTCCATGAAAGAGGTAGGAGGAATACAAATTTGATACAAGAAAATAGCCATCATTATTTCTGTTCTTTTAATTAATGCAGTAGGATTTGAATGTGTGTGAAAGGTTTTTGGGGATTAGTCATTGAAATTATTCAGGATCAGTTGCTTACAGATGGTAACTTTGACTTTCCAGTGGAGAGCTAAAGAATAAAAGGAGGATCCAAAGTCAAAAAAATTGATTTGTTTTCATTGGGAATGGAACTTGCCTGCTTTAAATGTAAGAAATGGTGTGATTCATTGGTACATGTACTGATAGCATGAGGACATAATGAAGGCATTCCTACTTTGAAGATAAAAGTGAAATGAGGCAAGTCCAGGTTATACATTGTAAGTCAGTATGCATGCATAGAAAAATAAGGAAATGTGCTAATATATTTTTTCAGATGAAAAATCCCTACAGAAGCTGCTATGACCAATAACTTTAATGTTGGGTATATGAAAAAGACAATGGTGCCAGCACTGGTTGCAATATGGAAAGGCAGCTCCTGGGGTCTGGTCTAATGGAATTGCAACAGTTTGACTGGTTGAGTATGGACAGAGCAGCAGCTTGAACAGTATTAGATGCATTAAATTTGGAGATTTAATGCATGGACTAAAAATGATCATAGAAGTGTCACTAATTATTGTTTAGGACACCTAAAGCTCTGCAGTCTGGGAGCAATGGCCTCTTTCACATGCCAAAGGTTGCCACAAAAGCAAAAGCAGGGAGGCTAAAAATGAAGGAATGGCTCTGTTCCTTTGGAAGGCATGGATTAGCCACACAAAACATGCCTGCTTTTGAAAAAGAACCTGGAAGATAAAAAACAACTTTTAAAACCAACATTAATCTTTTTATAATATTATCCTTGCAGTAGACCAGAGGCTCCAAGTGCTGCCATGCCTGCAGAGTAGATATTTGAGTGAGATTGAATTGGCACAAATATATCTGCACATGCTCATGCAAAATTGATCAAAGCAGATTCTGACAACAAATGCAGCTAAAGGTTTGTTCTCTGTAATTATTTGTCTTTTGGTATTGCCTCTCCTACCACGCTTCAGCATACAGAAAAAGCAAAAGTCTGACAGGAATAGAGAGATATCTGAGCAGTGTCTGTTGTTGGAAAAATCAGATTAAAGGAACACCCTAAATCCATCAGCAGCACTAAGAAAATGTAAGCAATAGTCCTTGCCACAACTGACACATTACAAGTCCAAGTTTAAATTGGCTTCTGCTGCATCTCCATATGGTATAAGAACTGTGATCTCCCACATGGAAAGGAAGAGGCCAGTTACCAAAAAAATGGAAAAAAAAAAAATAGAGAAAAAGGAAAAAAGCAAAAGCTGAAGAATAATACTTGGAAGCATTCAGCCTGGTCTGGTGCCAGCCCTGTTTTGTGAAATATTCCTTATGCAGACAGTGAGTAACGTGTGCTTAAGATACAATAAAAAAGCATTAATCTACAGTGGCTTTTAGGGATGTGTTTAGTGTTAGGCATGTGTTATCCTGATTACAGATACATGCATGCTTAAGTGTTTATGTTAATCAGAATTACGGGTTTAAAAGTGCTTACAGTAACCCAGACAGAAATTTATCATTTCTCCAGAAGGCTGCATATCTTGCAGCTCATTTTTTCGCATTTCTTGGAGTATTTTTCCATCAAGAATGTATTTTGTACATAATGTTGCATCTCCTGAGTATGTGCACGGAACCCAGTGTCTGTGGTGAGAGCATCACAGCACTGCTGCTCTCCTGTCCTGGCTGAAGTTTCAGCATGCAATTGTATTATGCAAATAGGTGCACTAAACTTGTTTCAAAAGGGAATTTCAGCTTCTGTAGCTAAACATCAATTAAAATATTCTAAATTAAACTTGAAAGACAAAGCTTTAATTAACTGCCTTTCAGGTTCCTGAACCATTCCTTGAATTGTTCTGAGTTTTAAGTGATGCCTCTGAGGCTGTTTAGACCCCCAGCACCCACTGGGTGCTGCTGTTCCAGAGCAGCACTTGATCCACCTGGGATTCTGCTCACACAGAAGGTGCCAGTTTGCACTGCAGTGAAATCCTTGGTTCCTGTTGGGTGGATTTTCCAGCTGTGGTGTCATCCAGCTGCCAAGAGCCACACAGAACACCGAGCTGATATCTCACTGAGATATCACTGGGGCTTCAAGGAAAGGATGGCAGGTACTGCACCACTTATTCTGCACATTTTTCTTGTTCTTCATTGCTGCACAGCTGACAGAAGACTCCTACTCTGTTATTAGTGACTCAGAGATTTAAGTGTTGACCTGACAGAGCTGGAGATAATGGATGAACAAGCAACTCGGGTTCTGTGGGTAAGAAGTTGATCAACAGAACTTTGGAAGGGCTGTTATGAGTGGTGAGAAGTTACTCAAAGCTAAAAGATTGGTCCAAAGGCTGTTAAGTGTCCCTACAGAGCATTTCCAGTGCCTTCTGAAAAGCATGGTGCTCCAGGAATGGCACTGGTAATGCCAAGATCATCGTCCTGTTTTCTGGTGGGTGTCAGTTGTCTCAGTGACTCAAGGTGATCTGAAATGAATCTCAAATGAAAATTTTGCTTTTTGTTGAAAACAAGCCCCAAACAATCCATGGGGTTTTTTTGTAAAGGTTTGTTCAATGGCAGAAGCTTGGAGCTTGAGCTGCTAGCAAAAAATGCATTGTAACGTTGAGCACAGACATGAATGCAATGCACTGAAAAAAGACACAAATAGTCTCTATTCTTCTTCTGACCCAGTGTTTGAAGTTCTGCAGTAGCCTGTAGGTGTTGGCTGTGTCACCAGCAGATGGCAATATTGCTCATTCCATAGCGTTTCCATATGCTTGGCATCTCCTCCCAAACAGACCTTTCTATCCAGAGAAGACAAAACATTCTTCCTGTGTCTTTTAAACCACAACATGTGTTTGTCAGGAGGAGCTGTGTATTATTAAGGGCACAGTTTGTCTCGGGGTTTGTTTATTTGCCCTGGGCAAATGAGAAAAATGTCTTTTGATTTCAAAGGCCTTGCTATCTGAGTCTGACAGAGTCTGCTGTAGATTGAGCTGTGTTAGTGGGACACTGTCTCCTCCCTTTGCAGGAGGGTTCTGCCCTTGCAGAGCAGTTCTTTGTACATGCATTCTTGAAATCACATTGGGAAGAATCATCTTGTTTAAGCAAACCCTGCCAATTTTGCAGGAGGTAAATGAAAGAGAAGCTGCTGCAGCAGCATGGGTGGGTAGAGCAGGAGCATTGGGATATCTGGGACCAGCTGGAGTTCCACTGGCAGGAGGAGATGTGTGCAGAGTCTGAAGGTCTCACTCCACAGAGGGATGTCACTTGGGACTCACACTGGTGTTCTTCTAAAATGAGTGTTGTTTTTCCAAGCACAGGTGTGCAAACCTTCAGTCAGTCTGTAATACCTCTTCCTCAAAGGCTGGGAACCTGGTGATTGCTGTTTTGATTACTTGCTGTGGCCTTGGAAGAGAGCTGTAGTCAAGAGTTTTGTAGTGCTCTGTGTTTGAGAAACAGACACGAGATTGACCTAACCGAGTAAATATTGAAAAACAAAAAAAAAGAGTGAGATTTTTGCATTAGGTGTATCTTGCATGCTTTCTTTCCTGCTATTTCTGCTTCCTTCAATTTTCCATAAAGCAGCATGAGATCTCAGTCCTCTTTGTTTCTATTTCTCTTTATCGTGGTTTCACAAACACTGTTCAGAAATGTCTTGGCTAGAACAATCATAATTAGGAAAAAGACAAGCTGCAAAAATGTGACTGTTCTTTAATGCTAATCCCTGTGGCTTTGCATACCTAGGAGATCAACCTCAGTTCTATTTTCTTAACCTTAATTTTTCTTCAAAATTGAAATGTAATCCAGGACACAGAGTGATGTGACTGAGTAGCCTTTCACCTTAATATGGCAACAATAAATCATGCTCTAGTCCAAAAGGGAGGAGCTTTGATGAGCTCGTATCAATCCCTTTGTATGTTCTTTAAAAAGATTGGATACTTCAATAGCAAGAAGATGGCTGATTAGGATTTAGATTTATTACTGGAATTACCTGGGGAGAGGTCTGATGTCTGCAAGCTGAGTGAATTAACTTTCTGTTATGTTGTATATTACATCTGATAGTATTTGCTACTATTGTATCTGCTAGTACTTGTTAATTCGGCGTGTTTTACAGTTCCAAGATTCACTGCAAAATTTGAAGGGGAAAATTATTTCATCAAGGTTCTCTTTGAGGGCCATTTTGATTTTGTCAAAACTGTGTTGGTTGTGAGTCTATTTTGTTTCTGACAATGCCATGAGCTCACTGTGGATCTTTAGGAAAATCACTGAATCTTTGGCTTTCTCTCTCCTTAAGTAAAATGAGAAGGTAAAATACACACATATATATATTTATAAAGTAATTTGAAAGTTAGAATTGGAAAATACTTTCTAGTATTAGGTACAGGGGTTAGTCTTTAATTGTGATATTTGCACATCTCATGTTCTCAAAGATAAAACTTCCTGTGTGAAACACTTTACAGCTGCATTCCCTAAGTGCTGATACTTAATAATAGTCTGATTCCTGTCATAAAATCCTCCTGTCCTAAGAACATTTCCCTATCAGATTTATCACACTCGAATCCATGGCTGCGATCTCGAATTGGATGGAAGTAGATCCTAGAGGTGGTGCTGAGCTGGAGTTTTACCTGCCAGTCTCCCTGCAGCTCCCACCGTGTCCATCCCCAGAGAATGAAGACTGAAGCTGTGACTGATGAAGTGTTTTTGTGTGTGCAGGTGATCTCCCCTCAGCGCATCCCTGCCACAGTGCCCCCCACGCTGCTGATGTCCCCCATGGTGTTCAGCCAGCCCGCGCCTGCCGCTCCCAAAGCCGCCGAGAGCGCCGAGCCCGCTGCCAGCCCTGCCAGCCTCCTCCTGCCCCTGCCAGCCCCAGAGCCAGCCAGCAGCACCTCCATCAGCAAGCTGCAGCTGCAGGAAACGCTGCTGCACCTCATCCAGGTACTGTGCCAGAAATCCCCACACTCACCTGGAAATCCTGGGTCACCTGTCCAAAGGTGGAGTGAGGAATTAAATGTGTGGTGGAAGTTGGGCTGCCTGTGCCTGGGGGATGCAATAAGCTCTCCTTGCACATCTCCTTTTGATTAATGCATCTCATTTGGGGGTTCAGGAAAGCTAATACATTTGGTGGAAAAGAACAAAGATGACTGAAAGCTTTGTAAGGTCAGCCTATGAGCCAGAGAGACATCTATTATATTTTAGCTAAGGATAAATCATGGGTGATTATCCCAGCTGCCAGATATTTCAGAGATGTGTGTAAGCAGTAAGAGCAATTCAGATGGGAGATTAAAATTGCAGGATGAGTGTGAGCAACTTTAAAATACGGGCTAGATAACATGAATATATGTTAATTCCATTCAGCATTTGAACTAGAGAATTACACTGAATAAAATTCCTTTTGCTGCAGTTTTTCAGGTTTAATTGTGATAAAGCATTAACAATGCTATGTATGAGATGATTGTTTACTGCTCTGGCATGATGCAAAATTATTAGTTTTTTTCCTTAACTTGCCATGTGAATAATATCTGAAGAGTAAAAGTTGAGGAGAGGTTACATAACTAAAGACCTGCCTGCAGAACACCAGGAGCAGAGAAACACATCCAGCTTGTAGGTCAAAACAACGTGCCTGTATGGCTTTGGAATAAAATCAAAATTCATTATTGTAAGTTACTTAAAATGTTATTTAAGGTATAAGTTCAGAGAAGAAATAGTATCCTTAACAAGCTGGAGGGCTTTCTCATTTTTCCCTGTATTTTTATTTTGGAATTTAAAAAAATCACATTATTTTGTCTTTACATACTTTGAGTGTCTTGATACTATTAAAAACATGCATGAAGTTATAGAGGAGACTAATCAAGGAAGGTTGGGGTTTACCCTCTGTAACTTTGTACCTGTAAAATATATATTTAATCCTGCTATTCTTGGTGGTAGTTAGGATTAACTGAAATTATTCACTGTCAATTTGTTAGCTGTCATTTTCCATTATATAAAACTACAATCTTGGATGCACCTAATTTTCCTTAAATATTATCTTGATTGTAATTATCCTCATATGTTTATGTGAGCTACTTATAACATTCTTTCTTAATGTGGGCTGACTCATTCTTGCAAAATGTTCTTCAGAAGGCAAAAGTTAAACATCAGAGCAAAAGGAGCAGCATCCCTTAGGAGCATTAAGCCTAAAAGAGCTAAACAAGATGCAAGGATTTGCCCAGGTAGGATTTTAGTGCAGGATCACAATCCAGAGTGTTTCATTATTCCTTGAGACAGGCTTGGAATTATCACTGAGCTGATAATTCAACTTCAGGAAGTCCCTAGATAAATGAGGGCAAAGAGAAGAAATTGCAGGGTTGTAACTTCAGTGTTGTCACTGAGTTATTAAGCAGCAATTCTGGGCTCGATTTAAATGCACTGTGAGTTTAGAAATTCTCCTTTCTGTGTACTCATTGCTCCTTACTGAGGTACAGCCATGGGAAATGAAACAGATCTTCAGTGAAAGGGCTTTGCTACTCTCTTTTTTAAAAAAGAGTAAGGCTGAAAATATCTGGTCCATAAAAAGAAATAACCTTCTAATCTCTTTACTCCAGTTATCCTGCTAACAATTACCTCTTTTGTTTTTCAGAATGATGACAACTTCTTAAACATTATTTATGAAGCATATCTCTTCAGTGTGAGGAAGGCAGCGATGAAAAAGCCTATGTGACAGATCATCTTTTAAATCAATTTCCATGGCTTCCTGAACCCCAGGAAGAAGATTTTGAAATTTTCAAATATGATTGTGTTTGAAGAAATGAATGATTTTAGGCATTTTGCATACACTTAGATTTTCCTTGTTGGCAAACAACATGCTGTACTGAGAAAAAAGAAAATGAGCAGGAATGGATTGTGCCTTTAGCGAGGGGAGCGTCACGACGCCCAAGAATTAATCACAAAATATCTTAAATTATTTTCCTTACCCTGCTCCGTACTCGGAGCTGGTTTCCCGGCATAAGGACTCAGTTCTCAGGATCCAGTTTCCTTTTTTTAACCCTCAGCCTGGTTACTCATTGCCGAGGTATTTGTCCCTGCTTTTCCCTGCGCAGCTGTCCCGGGGATCCTGACCACATGGTGGCAATGTTGGATTATTTTTAGGAACACCAAAATCCTCCTGAAATCCTGGAACGGGAGATTTCGGCAAGACTGATCGTCCTACTTAGTTGTCTGCAAAGCAATTTAGAAGAAGTGTCATGACTTTCCCCAAAATTTTTTGTAGGGAGATCTTTTTCTATTTTGACAAGAATATTTTTAGCTAGGTGTAGAAATGGGATTCTGCAGGTGTTCAAGGAATTGGAGGGTGGGGGGGTGTTGTGAATGTACTTTGCTGTCACAGAGCTCTGGGGTGACACTGGATTCATGTTTTTATTATTCCAGGTCCAATCTGCATAATTATAAGCAATGTGAAGATTTGTTAAGGGGAATGCTACCCGGTGTAATTTTATTTTATTTTTTTTTTAAGTGTGTTCCTGGAGCACAGTGATTTCATTGATCCATTTCTAAAGAAAATAAAAATGGATAAATCCCTACTATGTGCTGATTTCATTTTATTGCACCATGGGCTATATATTTAGTATGTATGACTCTAAAATGTTTTTACACTTGGCAGAAGACACGTGAGGATTTAAATCAACTAGAATAAGTGATTGAAAGAATTTTTATGTATATTTTTTATTAGCATCTGCTGCTGAAGTGCCAGTTTACTACAGTTTAGGAACACAGAGTTGTTGCTGAGGAGGAATTTCCTCTGTGGGCGCAGAGAACCCAAACTGTAATCCATAAATGATTTTTCAATCTTCTCTATTGGTGTAGGCACAGCTCAGTAGCCTCATCTGTGAAAGTTCTTCAGTGTCAATTTGGCTGCAGCTTTCAATTAGTAGAGCTGTAATGACTCAAACAATTGTTCCACCCCCATGCTAGGGTAGGGGCAATTTGCTCCCATTTCATGGGAAAGGCTCTAAATACATAGAAAAAAAATAAAAAATAAAATAATAAAAAGCCAAGAGCTGTGTTCTTTATTCACACAAGCAAATAACCCCAAGAAACTGCTGGAGTTTCCCCACATCAAGTACCTGGCAGACAGCAAGTCCCACTCTGTTACTTTAGGATCCTTGCAGATTCAGTGAAATGAATTTGTTGAGCAGAAACCAGGAAAAGCAGACTTTAAAGACAGCAAAATCCAAGCCTGTAGCCTTCATAATTTATGTAGCCTTTATAATTTATGGGATTCTACCGAGTTAATTGGTATTATTTAGGAATGAGCTGGTGTGGAAGAAATTGCAATCTGCACAAAAGAGTTTGAAACTAAATTCGTGCATAATTGGTGTCTGTGATGTTGGATTATCTGAGAGGGCAATTTAAAGATGATGGGGACACATAGTTAAGACCTCGTTTGACATGTAGAACTTCTGTAATTGGTGGGTCAAAATAATCCTTAAGCATCTAAAGCTGTCTTGGTAATAGATTTTCTAGTTATGGGGCAAATATTTACGGAAAAGCAAGTAGAAGTTTTCAAAAGAATTCTTATTTATTACTTGTCAGAGCAATTTACAGAAATTAAAGGCATATATTTTACAACATCTGTTAACTCTTGGTGCTTATGAAAACTGTGGCATTATGCTTGACAAGCTGAGGCTTATCTTAAAGCAGACAAGGATTGAGGTAGCTCAGGGTTTCTTTTCACTGCCCTCTCTTCTGGTCACATCTCCACCGAGTAATGCTGGCAGAATTGGATTTCTCTCACTGCACTGCACTGTAAGGGATTTCTGGGATTATTCAGAAGGCATAAAATTGCCTTTTGTGGAGTGAAGAAAAGTTGCTGCTGAAGAACAGAGGTGCTGTTAAAGTCCTGCTAACCAAGAACAGCAGTGGTAAGAAGATAGAACAAGCTCAGGAAGAAACTTTTGTGACAATGAGCAGAAGAGGAAGAGCAGTGAGAGAAATCTGTTAGGAGATGAAGCCAAATTTCCTGCCTAGGTTTCCATCTCAGGACAGGATCTGCTTCATCAGGTGCATTTGAGAATTGGAGACTGAGCTTGGAGCGTAGAACTGAGCCTTTCTTCTGCAAACTGAAGTCCTGTCTCAGTAAAACAGAAAACCAGCTTTTTTTATCCAGAAAAATGGCTGGAGCCTTCCAGTGTCACGGAAACCCAGAGGATTCTCATGGAATACCAAAAACTTCACCTCTGCCTTTTGGCATTGTGGGTTTTTAGCAGCTTTGTGTCAGCTGGGGGTGTCCCTGTGCAGCCAAGGTCTGTGCATGCCACCAAAAAGGGTGTTTGGTACATCACCTCTGAGTATGGTGCTTGTAAACATTCAGCTTTTCTCTGGTTTTATTTCTTTTTCAGGACTGCTTGAACTGTGAGCTCTTAGGCTAACGAGGCCTTTGGAGAAGAAAAGACTGCAGCACTCAGAATTGCTATTTTGGGCATGTTTTGTTTTTTCTTTATCTTGAGTATGGAAAAAAAGAGCAAGTAGAAAATCAGAAAGTTTATAAGGATGACATTAACTCTGCTTTAGATAATTTCACAGCATGCATGTGTGAATTTTTTATTATTATTATTGTTTATGTATTTATTGTGATACTGCTCGTTTTGAGTTGTGTGGTTTTTTGGTTTTTTGTTTCTTTTCTTCCAGTAGAATTAAATAACTTGTACCTTTGGCATCAGCAAGAATTCCAGAAGCAATTGCAGCAGCTCTTTATGCATTAATCCCATTCTCAGCCTTGAATTGATATTAGTTTTCAGTGTAACTCTGCTTAACCACTGTCCACTTCCTTAAAAAGTTCCATTATTAATGGAAAATTATTAAATGGACTCCACTATTAAACCAGAGGGAGAAGACAAGGAGTAAAAAGTCAGTGAAACATTGAAGCATCATTTCTGTCCAGGTCTATCATGGAAATTCACAATACTCAAGGAAAGCATCCAAATATTTTCTCACAGAAAATTCCACTCCTTAATCTGATTTTTTGATTCATTAGCTCTCTGTTGCTCCTGCTTGTTGTAGCTGCAATGGGGATAATTAAAAATGGTGCAGCAAAATAAAATTTTCCCAGGAGCAGGATGCTCCACCTCCTCTGACAGCCTGTTTAGAGCATGTTGAGCTTTGAACTTTGGTGATAAAAGCAGTGGGTGTTAGAGATGCCAGTGTCCCTTTAGGACATGAAAATCATAGTTCAATATTTTAGCAAACTTGGAAGCCTTTGCTGAGGAAAAGGCAAAATTAAAAGACATTTTTCAGTAAGAATTGGAGGCTTTAGTGGAAATAATGTTATGAGAAGGCAGCTTTACCCAGAGGAGTCCATGAAACCTAGAGAAAGGCAAAATTCCCCTCCTGGAGATGGATAATGTGCTAAAAATTTAATCCTCAGTCATCCTACAGGAAACTTTACTGCTGATTCTGAGGACTTTTAAGAGACTCTTACAAGTCCTTGCCTTTTCCAAGCTCCTGTGAATATCTCTAACAAGCTTGTTCTGGCCTCTAGATGTAAATCTGTGCACTGGAGCAGGGAGCTTGGCCTGTACAAGCTGCAGGTGGAAAATGGGTTCTGCAGGACACTGAGGAAACAAAAGTTGTGGATTTGTAAATCCTTGGAGGAAACCCACTCCTAGCTGCTCACCCCTGCTCCCACACCAGGCTCTTCTGCCTTTTCCCTTTGCTTTTCTCCTTTTTTTAAAATAATTTTAGGATGACTAAATTTTTTTAATATTTTTTTTAATAATTTTAATTTTTTTTAATAATTTTAGGATGGCTACAAGGTGAAATATCTGCCAGCAGATTTAATACAACGTGCCAGGGCTGGGTTTGATGTGGGGGGCTCAGAGGGTTCAGTGCATGAGTCAGTGTTCAGGAATAATCACAGGATAATTATATAAAAGTGCTTTATTGAAGAGCTCTGGGTGTCAGGGGTACACAGACCCAAATCTGACCCAACCTGGTTTTGAGCTGAACATGTTTTATAATCTATTGTTATACAACTTACATATGAATTATTAAACTTACATTGTTCTATTGTATACATTGATTTTACCCAAGTATGGATTTCTCATGATCCCCCTCAAACCCCTAACATTGTTTCTCATGATTCCTTAAACAACAATTATATCTAATCCCATCTAACAATTATATCATTTATCATATATTGACCACACAGGTGCAGTTTCACAAGGCCTAACATTTTCCAGGACCTACCTTTAACACTTTTCCCAGGGCTTGCCTTGCCTAACTTTCTTTCTGACTCCCTGAATTTTCTATAAATATAAATATAAATATAAATATAAATATAAATATAAATATAAATATAAATATAAATATAAATATAAATATATGTATATGTAGAAAAATAAATAATTTATTATATATCTATTATAATATTATATTATATATTTATTATATTTATATATATATATATGTAGATATAAATCTGCATGGAAGTGAATACAAAATGGCTTTTTTTTAATGTGCAGCTGAAAAAAAGCTACTGAAGCAAGAAGGAAATAAGAGCTGGGAAGGGGAAAGTGGAGAGGAAAAGGAGATTTTTATGTCACTTTAAAGAGCAGATTTTGGAGAAAATGTGTTTAATGTAGGAATGTTTTTCCTTTATACCCGCTGTGGAAAGAATTTGAGTTGCAAGTAGTCTCCAATGCTTCTTCCTTTCAATAGGTGAGCAATAACATAAAGAGAAAACAATAACATAAAAAGAAAAACTTTATTTAGAATAAATCAATAGATTTGTCAATAAATAAATAGATAATCAATAGAATCTGATGTACTAAATAAGAAGTCACTGCACATTTTTTGAGAGCAGCAGCTTCAGTCAAACAGGTAATAAAAAAATAAAAAAAAAAACCCACACAACATTTTTTAAGCCAAGTTAAAATCCAATTTTACTATATTTGGACACAAATTCCACAAAAAGCAAGGTAATCCCTGTAAAGGCAGAAGGAAAAACCCTCCAGATGTGGTGACTAAAGAAGAGTGAAGAAACAGAGAGGATGAAATCTTCCCATCAGCAAGAGAATGTCCATGGGGGAGCCCTGGATGGCATTCCTACAGAATGTGTAGGACAGTGTGCATAGAGGGATGGTGATCCCATGGTCAGATCCTACAGAAATATTAAGATTTTTCTTGCTGTCACACATCTCGTTACACCCCGTGCCTGCAGGTACAGAAATCCAGTCCTGCATTTCTTCAGCAAGACCTGAAATCCTCTTTTCAGACACTCTAGAAGGGAGGAGGGAGGGAGGGAGGAATTCCTGATGTGCCCCTTCAGAACCTGACCCACCTGTGGCTTTTCCTGCAGCACTCTCCTTTGAACACGAGGTTGAGAGAGGAAAGGAGCTTGGCAGCCCTCCCAGAGCAGGGCTACTCAGGCTGGGAACAAAAGCTCTGATTTCCTTCATTTTTCCTGCTGCTTTGCAGTCTGGCTCTGCTTTCTGCCTGCAGCAGCAGCCCCAGACCCACCACTGAGCCCAAGTGGCTGCGTTGGACATCCAGTGAAATGTGCATTGGACATCCAGTGAAATGTGCATTTCACATCCAGTGAAATGTGCATTTCACATCCAGTGAAATGTGCATTTCACATCCAGTGAAATGTGCATTGGACATCCAGTGAAATGTGCATTTCACATCCAGTGAAATGTGCTTTTCACATCCAGTGAAATGTGCTTTTCACATCCAGTGAAATGTGCATTGGACATCCAGTGAAATGTGCTTTTGACATCCAGTGAAATGTGCATTGGACATCCAGTGAAATGTGCATTTCACATCCAGTGAAATGTGCTTTTCACATCCAGTGAAATGTGCATTGGACATCCAGTGAAATGTGCTTTGGACATCCAGTGAAATGTGCATTTCACATCCTGAGCACGCTGCACCTTCAGCTGAGCAGGTCTCTGTGCCTCAGGCTCCCCTCCTGGATCCTCAGCAGGGAAGTCCTGCCTCTCCTGCCTTATGCCCAGCCAAGAGCTTCAATCAGGGCAGCTGTCAAGCTGCAGATTCCTAAGGAAGTTCAGGACTCACCTACTTAACGCTGGAAGTTTGGCAGCAGAGGTGCAGTTCCCATCTCTGGGAGAGGTGTTTGCAAGCAGCATCAGCCTCTTGGCTCTGCTGTCTCTTCCCCTTCTCCTGTTTTACCCCTGAGAACCAAATCCACAGGCCATCTCCACAGGCTCTTTCCAGGTCCCACCAGAAGTGTGCCACCCCTTAGGGGTGTCTCAGCAGCGTCAGCAGGACCACAGGTGGAGATGATGCATCCTGGAACAAATAAAAGCCTTGTTGTCTTTGAGAAAAGTCCCTCCAGGGATCATAAAACACGAGCTTCATCTAGGGAAGGGTAGAGGGAATGGGTAGAAATGTAAAGTTGAAGTCTCCAGTTAACTCCTTTGTCTGAGAGATATGAAGAAGTGATGACTGTGTACTCCAGAAAATCCAGTGAGGACTTTGAAATGAGTGAATAATTCCAAAGAGACGTGAAAACTGGAAATCTTCAGCTCGCCTTTAGGGCTGGAAGTGAAGGTGTGGAAATCAGAAGAGGGAGAAGGGAGATAGAAGAGCACAAACAAAACATGGGTTTTGTTCAGGAAAACTTTCACTTCTTTGGCTAAAAGCAGAAGTTTTGATAGTGTTAAATTTCAGGACAAGGAGCTGATCCCTCCCTGCTGCCAAATCCAGCAGTGAGCCCAGAGGGGAGGACAAACCCTCGTGTCCCTGCTGTGCACACCCTGAGCACACCAGGTTATGAAATGGGAAGGTCTCAGGGATAAAACAGCAGCTTAGGAGGCAGCAGGATGATGGAAGTGAGGCTCCTCTCATCACACCAGCTGCTTCATTTCACTGTGCTGGGAGGGCAGGGTTGGACAGACAGAGGGTGGGGAGGGGAACGTGGCCAGGCTCACACACAGAGCAGAGGGGCACAAACACTCTGTGGGTATTCAACATAAAGTGCTCTGCTCCCTTTCTGCGAGTGATGATTTCATAACGCCCTGGAACGTCTTTGGATGAGAAATCTTACATGGTTTTAAAGGATTTCTATTTCTTAAGTGTATTTTTTAGGCCTTCAACATTGTTCTACAAGTGCATTTACATAAATAGCTAGGTAGAAGCATCTAGAAGTGCTTTTTATACACATTACCCTTCTAAAGGAGAGAGAAGGGAATGTTATCCCATTTGAAATGGACATGAAGAGCAGAATGAAGAACATGAATTCCATAACAAAGGCAGAGGCTGGTGCTCAGTCACTCCTCACTGGGGCTTCACTCCCCTCCCAGCTCTTCCTTTGTGTTCCATCCCTCATCCCAACCTGCTCTGCTCCCCAGGCCCAGCCCCTCCTAAGAGACCAGAGAACTGGGAAAAGCAAGGAGCAGCCAGAGGCAACAGCAGCAGCCAAAAACCCCTCCTGACAAACTTTCTGATCCCACCATCCTTTCCCTTTGCAGGAACCCTGCCCCTCTCCCTCGCTCTGCAGCATCAGGGGCTGGCACTTGGCAGCTCTGTGTGCCCTGAGCCTGCTGCAGGCTGGGCAAGGGGAC